TTTTGACTTCATTTCAACGGTTCTGGTCCGACCTTCTGAGGCAACAGAAAACAACTCCGCACCATCCTCTATATGGCAGCCCTTCAAGTACTGGAAGATGGTGATCGTATCACCTCTCAGTCGTCTCCTCTCCAGGCTAAACAGACCCAGCTCCTTCAGCCTTTCCTCATAGGACTTGGTCTCCAGACCCCTCACCATCTTCCTTGCCCTCCTCTGGACACGTTCCAGCTTGTCTGTATCCTCCTTAAATTGTGGTCCCCAAAACTGAACACAGTACTCTAGGTGAGGTCTAACCAGAGCAGAGTAAAGCAGTACCATCACTTCGCATGATCTGGACCCTATACTTCTGCTCATACAGCCCAAAATTGCATTTGCCTCAGTTCCTCTGGAGAAAATATCTGCTTTGGACTCTGAAGTCCTTCCCCTCTCCAAACCCTGCCCTCTCCAGACTCCACCCTGCCCCAAATCTCCAGGAATTTCCCAACACAAAGCTGGCAACCCCATCATGCAAGTTAGAAATGGCCGCCTTCCTGTGGCTGATTGCACATGTCCTGTGTTGGCTAGGAGCAGGCTTCCAAGCTGGACGCCATTTACGTAGCGAGAGACACCGTGCCTCAAGTGTTATTGGGAATGTCATTACTATGCCAAAATCCAGTACTGCGTTTCATCGTCACTGCTTGGTGGTATCATAGAGCTTCCTGACTCACACAAACTGCTATATCTACTAAACAGCGATGATGAAAATATAACCGTCTCTGTGGAAAAATTCTTTCAGGCTGCTCTTTTTATACGCAGTATAGTATTGTAATGCAAAATTGTATTGGGGAGAAATGGAACTGAGACGTATTTTACATGGATTTTAGACTATTCTAGGCTGCGGTCACACGGAGCATTTGCTGCGCTGACGATACGGAGGGTAGGCGGTTTTTCCGGGCGCGATCACACCGCAATATCTGGGAAGCGTAGAGCTCCCGTGGCTAACCTGAGGCTTCCCGCCGAAAATGCGGACTAAAAAACTAGTACCTCCGAGATACTGGTTTCCGGAAACCACGGGGCAAGGGCGTGGCATCTGGCGCCCACCGCTGTTCGTCGCACACAAGGGTTTTTTTTGTCTCCCAAGTCTCCGCAGGTTGCGCAACAGCGCCCAACAGCGCATGCGCACAAAGAGCGATTGCTAGTGCGATCGTGCGGCGCGGCTTCTGTGCCGCACTGCAGGATACCCGTCTGGTCGGCATCTCCCCCCTAACCACGGGACCTCGACCGGGACGTGTGCTCGGGTGGCTGTGCGTTAGTTTCCTCCGGGGCTATTACCCCCGCCTCCCCCCCCCCCCCCCCCCCTCCCCCCCCGGCGGGCCCGCGCGCGCGTGTGACCGGGGCCCTAGAATGGTTTTTCTGGGTGGTGTCTGTTTCTGTGTTTTATCTATTTGTGTATTCCCCCCCCCTCCCGTGCTAGTGCCAATAAAGGTAACCGAACTGTAAGTAGCGAGAGACAAGTCTGTCTCTTATTGGGCAGGGAACAGCGTTAAGCTGCCTATCTTTGTATGGTGTTCCCGAACCTTTTGAATAACGAGGAGGGAAGTGAACAATAAACAAACAGTGAAAAAGCAAAAAAAAGGTCTGCCATCACAGGAAATTAAAAAACAAAGCTGTCCAGCCTGCCAGTTAAGATTGGTTCCCCAGAGCCGGCTCCCTGTACCCCCCTGCCTTCCGAGGCGAGGCAGACGGAGACTAGAGACAGGACATTCCACTCCCCTTGAGGCTCGCATGGCACCTGCTTGACTTCCTTTTGTGTGCCAGGCTAGAATTAGATCCCCTTTTACCCCAGGCTTTTAATGAAGGGGTTTTGAAATCTCTTTTTTTAGACTTTTTTACAGTCTGCTTGTAGCCTCAGGACTGTTTTCTGGATTATTATTTTTTTTAGACTTGCTCAAGGCTTGTTTCGAATGGCTTGTGTTTTGTTATTTGCGTGCCGCCTTGAGCAGGTCTCTGGAGAGATGGCATTTAAATCCCCTGAATTCCTTCATGGCCAAAGGTACCATACACTCAGATCACCGGCATGCATCAAATATATATGTGGGTGAATGGTATTTAAGGTACAAATCCAGAAAAGGGTTTCTTTGAAAAAGCAGTGTCATGTAACCAGGGCTATTTTGGGGCAGGAACGCACAGGAACGGAGTTCTGGCTGGCTCCCGAGTTGGCCACGCCCAGCAGGAACTCATTAGCATAATAGGCCACACCCAACAGCAGAAACTCATTACGATTGGCTACATTAGGGGTGTGTGGCCTAACATGCAAAGGGTTCCTGCTACAGAAAAAGCCCTGGGCTTTGACAACAAACAAGGTAAACAGAATAAGAAGCAAAAGGTGAGTGTGGCTGGATGACCACACTTCTGGTAACATGGGGGTGTGTGGCCTAATGTGCCAATGAGCTGCGCTGTCAGGGGTGTGGCCTAATATGCTAACGAGTTTCTGCTGTTGGGTGTGGCCTGTTATGCTAATGAGTTCCTGCTGTGCTTTTTCTACAAAAAAAGTCATGCATGTAACCACACTCATTTAATGGGCTTCCAATTTTCCTGGTAAACTCATGCCACAAACCATGTTGCACTAATGACGTATCATAAACAGATGCGATATCACAGTATACAATATACAGAAAGCACTACTTGCCGACTATTGGAGAGTTTGTTCTATTGTTGATTGGGTGCCTGGCTTTGAATGATTATAATAGGATTTAGTTTTTTCCTGTAATACTGGTCTGAAGTGCTGTGAGTGCTGTGCTAAGAGTGCTGTGCTACACTGTGAGTGCTGTGCTAAGGGTTTTTCCCTCTACATATACCATTTTAAAGTCTTCTGTAGATTATGGGTGCGTTCAGACGCGCCGTTTCAGCCAGCATAAACTGTACCGGTTGGAACCGGTGCAGTTTATGCCGGCTGAAACGCAATCACACTCACCTCCTGTCTGCGGATCCCATCGCTGTATGCCCGTCCACACACAGCGGGCATCGGCGTTTTGGGGGTTTTTTTTTAACTCAGTTTGAGCATGCGCATAGGCAGCCATCCATAGAATGGCGATCTTCGCGTATGCACAAAAAACCCTGTCTTACATTTAAACTTTAAAGGTAAGGACTTACCTTTAAAGTTTAAAGAGCAAAGTAGCCTCCCTGAGGTCCTGGACGCCTCCGAAACGCTAAACTAAGGCCCTTTTCTTCTTTTTTTAAACAAACGCCAGGGCGAAGCTTCGCCCAAGCACATATCGCCGACCTTTAAAAAAAAAAATTGCCGGCAAAAATCGGAAGCCTCAGGTTTCCGAATGTACCATTTATGGACTTGCATTAGTCATGGACCTGTACATTATATGATGTAATTTGGTTTTACTGATACATGTGGTCCTCTGTTATCTTGTTATATAAATTTACTCTTTTTGCATGACTTTTTGAGCACTTGTGGTCTGCGTTATTTGTACAGTGCTTGCTTGCTTTCTGCACTGATGATGTAAACATCGGGAAGCCCCATGTTTTATCCTCTTTTTTTTTTAATTAGCTGATTCTTGTTCAGATTGGGACAAAAGTGCCCTTTTGTTTGTGAAGGTATCTTCCGTTCTCAGGAGTTTATGGGTGCAAGAAAACGATGGGGTGTTCCCACAGCATTTGCTATGGAGAGTCTTTATGCTGAGCCGTGTTCCTGGACCCTGCGCTCCAAAAGAATCTCACATAACATCAGCCTGTTTAGTCCTGCCACAGTAGCGGATGTGGCCATTCTGTTTCTAATATATAAAACATGTTATGCAAGGGTAGCAATACATGATGTCTAGACCTGGTTTCCTGTTCTCTTGCTTTGACATCTGTGTCTGTTCCAAAGGGTGAAGAACATGCTGCTAAAATCCAACTGCATTCTGGAGGCCTTTGGCAACGCCAAAACCAACCGCAATGACAACTCCAGCCGGTTTGGAAAGTATATGGATATCAACTTTGATTTCAAAGGGGACCCAATAGGCGGGCACATCAATAACTACTTGCTAGAAAAGGTGAGTTGTTCTGGCTTGGGTAGACCCTGTGGCCTTTTATGGATGAAGGTTTGTTTTGTAAATGAAGAAGACGAGGGTGACCATACTGTTTGTGCTTTGACTTGTGGCAGAAAAGTGAGGCAAACTCATGGGGTAAGAGCAGGAGAATCAAAATCAGCGCAGAGTTGGTTTTTACACTAGTGAGCTTTTCAGTAAATGGTATTGCAGAAGATACCAGGGTTTTAAAATTATATTATATTATAGTAAAGATTATATTATCAGGGGTCATTTCCTGCAGGAGCGCACAGGAGCGGAGCTCCGGCAGTAAAGAGCCCCTGGGTTCTTTTTCTAACCCTCTGCTTGACTGTAGTTGCTGTCTGGATTTCATGTAGAATTCTGTGACAGCATCTGTTGTGGGTTTTTATAAGCTTCTGTGTTTGTTACCCTAAAGTCTGTTAACAGAACAGATGCTTGTGTATTTTTTGTCATTGTCTTCATTAGAGTTTCCCCCCCCCTAGGGTTGCCAAGTGGACTTACCCCTCACGGCGGGGGAGCCTCGCCGCGGTCCGGGAGTTGTTGTAGGACGCCAGCGCGTGCGGGCGCCGGCAGCACATCACTGGAAGTGACGTTGCTTACGTTGGGGGCGTGGTCAGCAACGTGGCTGCGTCACCTCTGGTGATGCAGCTTCGGGGGCGGGGGTCCCCCCGGGGGCCCACTTATAATTTTGAAGGTGAACATGACTGGGTTCTTTTTCTAACCCTCTGCTTGACTGTAGTTGCTGTCTGGATTTCATGTATAATTCTGTGACAGCATCTGTTGTTTTTTTAAGCTTCTGTGTTTGTTACCCTGAAATCTATTAACAGAACAGATGCTTGTGTATTTCTTGTCTTTGTCTTCATTAGAGTCCCCCCCCCATATTTCATCCTGAGTGCTCACTTAGATGAAATGTTACTGCCTTGACTTTATTTGAAAGCATTTCAGTAAAATGTTCCGAGAGTCTGTGAGTTTGTCCAGCATGTGATGTTTTTAGAGTTGGTCCAGTCAATTTTGGTCTAGGGCCATGCATTCTTGGTCTATGTAAATGCTAGTGAACAAGGATCCCCAACCTTTTTTGAGTCTGTGGGCACACTGGGAATTATGACATGGCATGGTGGGAGTAGCAACAAAATGGCTGCCACAAAATGGCTGCTGCAGGCGGTAGATCTAGCCACAAAATGGCTGCCACAGTTTAACTTCAGTAACACAGCATGGATCCTTGTGGTGGCAGCTGCTGCCAAAGCAACATTTTTTTTAAAAAAATCTGCACAGCCAATCAGAAGCCATGCTGGGCAAAAGCCCTACCTGGCCCCAACCACGTCCTAAAAACCTGTGGCGGGCACCAGAAAAGGTGTTAGCAGGTGCCATGGTGCCCATTGGCACCACATTGTGGACATAAGAACATAAGAGAAGCTGTGTTGGATTAGGCCAATGGCCCATCCAGTCGTACACTTTGTGTCATACAGTGGCCAAAACCCAGGTGCCATCAGGAGGTCCACCGGCGGGGCCAGAACTCCAGAATCCCTCCCACTGTTGCCCACAAGGACCAAGAATACAGGGCATCACTGCCCCAGACATAAGAACCTAAGAGAAGACATGTTGGATCAGGCCAGTGGCCCAACCAGTCCAACACTCTGTGTCACACAGTGGCCAAAACCCAGTGGCCACCAGGGGGTCAGAACCAATGTTCCCTCTAAGCTGTGGCGTCGTGTGAGCAAAAGGAGGTGGGGGCTCACACTACCACCTCTGTGGTGTTTCGGCCTGTCCCCCCTCCTTCCTGCACGAGCACCTTCGTGGCAGTTTCAAGCAGGGGGTGTTGGGGGCTCCTCCACACCCAGCAGTCCACACACCTCCAGTGAGTCTGCCTCAGTGGTGGGTGAGGGACAAGGTGGCTATATTTGGGGGAGTTAGACACCCCCCATTTTTAAAGATTTCGGATTTTTCTGCAAGCATCAGGGACCTCCCAAGTTTGGAGGAAAATCTCCATTCTATCAGCATGGCCCTGATCCACAGATTTAAGTGTCTGCAGATGGGGGCCATGTTGAGTATTAAATAAAATTAGATTGACTCCGAATGTGACGGAACAATGAGTCCAGTGGCACCTTGAAGACCAACAAAGTTTAATTCTGGGCAGGCAAGTCCGATCTCATCAGCTCTTGGAATCTAAGCAAGGCCAACCCTTGCAAGTACTTGGAAGGGAGAACTCCATGGAATACCAGAGGCAGGCAATAGTAAGCCACCTCTCTGAAATGACCAGGCCCCACTAGGGGTTACCAGAAGTCAACCATGACTTCCACACACACAAAATAAAAATAAAGTTGAATTCTGGGTATAAGCTTTTGTGTGCCTGCACACAAAGTGTTGCTTCAGACAAACACAGCCACCCACCTGAATCTATCAGAATGTGATAGTATTTAAACACCTGTCATTTGTGTAAAAGGTCCCTTGCCAAAATCTGGCCTCCGTATCTCCCCTCCCCTATACTATGCTGCTCTGAGTGATGTCCTTGTTAAGGGGCTTCAGGTGTCTTGAAGAACAACCAAACTATGTCTGATTCTCTCCCCCCCCATCTTTTCTCTCCAGTCACGGGTGATTGTGCAGCAGCCGGGAGAGCGAAGTTTTCACTCCTTTTACCAGGTAAGTTCCCACTTTCTCGGAATGTATCTGTGCGGTAAAGAGACCTGGTGACTGAACTGAATGGAGACACACACACACCCCTTGCTTGGCCTGTCCCATATTCCTGTTTGCTCTGATAATTCCCCAGAGACACTGCATCCCTCTTTGCGCGCGCATGTGTGTAAATGGTTGGTGCTTTCCTTTATTATTAAGCTCATATGACCAAAGGTCTTGAGCATAAAACTAATACGTCACAACAGGGCAAAGAAACAAAACCAACGTTACAAAACAAAACAGGCAAAAGGCACAATACAGAATACTAATATCTCTCTCTCTCTCTCTCTCTCTCTCTCTCAAAAAAAAAAAATAAAAGTCTAAAACACGTTGGATAAAATATAACAGTGAACCTATATAATTTCTCATAAGGTCTTCAGGACAATATTTGTTTTAGCAGTGTTTTAAGGAGATCACTGTTGTCAAATATTTTGCAACAGATTGAGTTATTTCTGGATCAAAGTCTGCTAACAACTGAGATACCACCCAGGACTCAACAGGAAGCTGATATTTGGAAAGAATAAGGGTAATTCAGAGAGCTCTGGGGACAATCCATTGATTCTGTTAGGAAAGTTATTCTGCCTAAAGTGCCATTTTAAAAGGGTCTAAAAACAAGACAGCTCCGGTATTTCCCTCAAGTTCCTGGGCTGGGTCAGAAGTCTAAGCAAATATCTGGAACAGGGTGGGACAGCTTAGTCTTTTAAGACAAAGAAGAAATACACGCTAGTTGGGGGTGACTCAGTCACTCAGGGGAACTAAGATTTTGGCAGGAAAATCTGCCTAGGAGTTCTCCGAATCAAAATGACTTGCCAAAGCCTGCACCAACCATTTCTGGGCAAGGCTAGGGACCCCCTTCCTCTATGACCCTTCCCTCACATTTGAAACGTCTTACAGTCCCAAGCAGTGTTCCCTCTAAGCTGAGTTAGTGTGAGCTAGCTCACGTTTTTTTAGCCTCCGGCTCACACATTTTTGCCTTAGCTCAGGAAGGATGGCTCCAGAGCAAATGAATCTATGCAGTAGCCAAATTGCTCGCTCACAACTTTAGTGCCAGTAGCTCACAAAGTGGAAGTTTTGCTCACAAGACTCCACAGCTTAGAGGGAACATTGGTCCCAAGCCACAAGCGTGCTTTTATGCTTGCCAGGCAGAATGATCTTCTGACAGCAAAACTGCGAGGACGATTTGCTAAAATCCCATTTTCAGACGGCTTCTGTGAGAACTCCTAGGCAGATTTTCCTGCCAAAATCTTAGTTCCCCTGACTGAGTCACCCCCAACTAGCGTGTATTTCTTCTTTAAAAGACTAAACTGTCCCACCCTGTTCCAGATATTTGCTTAGACTTCTGACCCAGCCCAGGAACTTGAGGGAAATACCGGAGCTGTCTTGTTTTTAAACCCTTTTAAAATGGCACTTTAGGCAGAATAACTTTCCTAACAGAATAAAGATTTCATTTAACAGGCAGGGAATTTTATATATATATATATATTTATATATATATATATATGTGTGTGTGTATATATATATATATATATATACACACACACACACACATATTTGCTATGTATAGGAGAAGTCAAGGCTTGGAAATTATGATATGATATTATGATATGATATTATGATATTATGATATGTACAGAACTAAAAACTTAAAACATACAAGAGAGTGTTGTTGTAGCTTCTTTTCAGAGATTTCTAGTTCTTTTCCGTGAAAGGTAGTTTTCTTAGTATATTTCAGCAATAATTCAGGCTCTTAATAGAGTTCCCTGGACAAAAGCTCTTTTTTAGAGTTTCTAGATTTCTGCCCTTAGAAAATCTGGTTTCTCCCTTCAGAAATTTGTTGTTTTCCATGAACTCCTTGAGGTGTCTAAAGCTTATTCCCCTTTACCACAGACCTGGGTTCTCCTGAGAGCACAGCCCCTTTTTTACTGGCAGGAATTATTCTTCTTTTCCCTAAGAAGCAATAACCCTTTTCTGTTTGGCTTGCTTGGGAGTTAAAGCCTAACAACCCAGTAGCCCTTGCCAAATCTCTCTTCCAGTATCTGTTGTCTGTGTAAGGCAGTCTTTTGTTGTTGTTAGCTTTCTTGACTCAGAATCACAGTTCTCCCTCAGACTCGGTTTAATACTGTTAGGGCAAAGGAGTCCCTTTTCTTCTCTCTGTGGAAGACCCTTTATGACTAACCCTGTCAGGACATTGGTCCTTTTCCACATTTGCCTGCCACTCCGGATTTTCTCAGTGTTCGAGGCAGAGGTCATTTCGGGGGGGAACGCGGGGGAACGCAGTTCCCCCGGGTGAGGTACAGGGGGCGGAGCACATGACGAAGCCCCGCCCCCTGCTTCCGGCCGCCCCGCTTCCGGCCCTCATTCAGCCAGGAGGAGGCAGGAGAAGAGGGAGGGTAAGTTGCTTCCTCCCTGCCTCTCCCCACCCCTGCCTGCCTGGGCCCAGGGAGGGTCTTCGCGGGGCTTCCTTGCACTCCCGCCGGCCGGGACCGTTAGGGGCAGGGTGTGTGGCCTTATGACACACTTCCGGTGATGTCAGGGGGTGTGGCATATGCTAATAAGTTATGCTAATGAGTTCCCCTAGCTCTTTTTCTACGAAACGACCCCTGGTTCGAGGCAATTTAAGTCCATGGCAAAACAGTATCCAAATAACCCAGGGCAATAAATAAATAAAATAGCAGGCCGGAACCTGGGCTGAACACGGAAGGGAGGTAAGGTAAAGCAGAAAGGGGGGGAAACCCAGGAAAAAAAGGTTGAACTCGATTTTAGAGCAGAATGTCAGGGGGGGGACGACAACCCTGGATTAAAAAGAAGGTTGAATTCGAATTTAGTGCAGAATTGCTTGGAGGACATTCGTGGTGAACATGGATTAAAAGGAGAGTGCAGAAAGGGCCACAGTTTTATTCTGGGTGTAAGCTTTCAGAAGATCCTGATGCTGGGAAAGACTGAAGGTCAAAGAAGACGGGGATGGCAAAGGATGAGATGGTTAGACAGTGTCATCGATGCAACGAACATGAAGTTGAGCCAACTTCAGAGGACGGCGGAAGACAGGAGGGCTTGGCGTGATCTGGTCCATGGGGTCGCGAAGAGTCGGACTCGACTGTGCGACTGAACAACAACAAGCTTTCATGTACACGCACACTTCTTCTGATAAGAGCTTTGGACACCTTGAAACTCCCGCCTCTCTTCCAGGGCTAGATGCTAGCTGCAGATGCTAGATGCAGATTGGGCCACTGTTTTGAGCTGCACTTTTTCCTCCCAGTTGAGAAAATGTGGAGTGAATGCTAGATGCAGGATCACCTGTAGTTTTCCTAGGATTCCCAACAGTGCTGCCATTGAAGCATTTCGAGTGCGTGGGAGGGATTCCTGTCTCTCCCTCCCATGGGTTTTGGTTTCACTGGTCCTTTCCGCTTTTGCCCGCCGCTCCGGATTTTCTCAGTGTTCGAGTCGAGGCAGTTTAAGTCCACGGCAAAACAGCATTCAAATCACCCCAAGGCAACAGCAGGCTGAAACTGGGCTGACTACTGAAGGGAGATAATGCAATGCAGAATGGGGGAAAAGGGGGTTGAACTTGATTTTAGTGCAGAATTTGGGGGGGGACCTGAATTAAAAAGAAAGTTGAATTCCATTTTAGTGCAGAGTTGCTTGGAGGACACTGCAGTGAACGTAGATTAAAAGGAGAGAGCAGAAAGGGCCTTAAATTGCCTTGACTCGAACAATGAGAAAATCCGGAGTGGCAGACAGACGCAGAATGGGCCGAGGACACTGCGGTGAACATGGATCAAAAGGAGAGTGCCGAAAGGGCCGCTGATTCCAGTTATCCCTTCCTCTGTCAGAAGGTGAAAGCCCCCTTTTCCGCCGGGATAGCTGATGTTATACTTGCCCTGAGCTAATGCTGTCGTGGAAACTCGAGCTGCAGTGTTAGAAGAGTCAAACAACAAATATATACACTGCAAAAACCTTTTTTATAGGTTAAAGTGTTCTGTATATTCCATCTTATAAAGTGCATTGTGTATTATTCATAATATTCTAAGACATATATTCATTACATACAATATCAACAATACTAATCAGTTTGTACAATCTAATAGCTGCCAGTCAATTTACATCCTTTTTACACAATCAACCCCAACAGGAGTCTCTAGAATTGTATACCCGCTTCTCCTTGCTTGAAAGTCTTCTAAAGGGGGAAGTTTCCTTTTGTGGTTACATTGAAGTTTAAATTGATGTTTGTTGCTGGTCCTACAAAAGGCCCATCAAGCAGCTGACATTCATAGACGGAGCGCTCCTGTCTTTCTCAAGGCTGCCTGAGCTGATGCTGGCCAATCAGAGAACATGTAGAGCAGCCAATCAAATAAGGGAAGATCAGGGCCGGCCCGAGGTTGTCCTACGCTCTAGGCGTGCACAGATGCCAACCTCCCGGCGGGGCCTGGAGACCTCTCCGCCAGAACCAGGCTGGGAGGAGGGTCACCCAGCCGCCGCTCGCCTCCCCCCGCCCCCACCC